TTATCACTATTATTAATTAATTTTTTATAGTTATAATTGATTGGTCACACCATGTGCCTCCGTGTGAGGACCAAACCAAATCTCCAGGTTCTCATATGAGAACCAGGCTGAAAAACTTATGTGCACCCCTGCTTATACTGTCTTTTTACACGTTGCGTTGCATCGCGCCGCGTAAATGTACAACCATGTTTGCATTTGTGATCAGAGAAACGACAAACAACAAGCGCTACTCTACACTGCTCAAAACTCGCATTTTTATAAATGGCATTGTAGTCTACTCTCCCAGGATCAGGAAACAGTTCTCCATAAAATGCGCTGCAATGAATCTCTTCTGGAACAGTGTTGTAAATACAACTTAACCACTGATTTCTAGTTGTGTCCTCTTTTGGAAGGCCGAACAAAGTAGTTTCGCTTTCACAACGAAACACAGCGGGCTTGAGTGAGGAATGGCCGGCGGGCTTGAGTGAGGAGCGGCCGGCGGGCTAGAGAACGTTGCGGCTGGCGGACTTGCGGCAACCACATGTGACGACCCCGGGCTGGACTCCACTTCGTCCACGGTGAAAGCCGATCCGGCGATCCACAGCGCGAAGTTGATGTATTTCCTAAGTGACCAGCACGGATCAGCTCCAGGCATGGCGAAGTGGATATCGTCTTCTTTTGGAAGGCCAAACGAAGTAGTTTCGCTTTCACAACGAAACACACAGCGTCTTCACGACATGGCGGCGGCGGCGGCAACAACAATACTACAGCGGGAATAAAAGTTACGCCGCCTTTCTTTGCGTGAACATTTGGGCGGTGTTATGCAAATCTTCTCACATTGTGACGTAGATATGTGGGGGTGTGTTAGAACGAGCCGTTTTAGGTAGGCGTGGTTGACTCTTAACTTTTATAAAGAATATCTCTTTGGATTTGAGACTTTAGTCTTTGCAACTTAACAGATCTTCTTTATGCACCAAGAGCTTGTAACACTCCAAAGAGAAAGGAAAAATTGAAATCGCATCATATGACCCCTTTAAAGCCCGATGATGGTGATAATTTAGCTTGTACATTCTGTCTTGTTATGGTTATTCTCTCAATGCTTTATCAGTGGATGAAGTGTGCCATATGAACTAATGCTGGCACTCACCTGCTCTGCTTTGCTCTGGCCTCTTCTTTATCCATGCCTGAGCTCCTGACGTGTGTCATGATTGTTCCCAGCAGGCCTGCAATCAGAGAGGGTGAGGCCAAATAGGTCAGCTTGCCACTCCACTCAAGCAGAGGGCATCACCCTCTCTTGTGCATGAAATCAGTGACCCTCTTCTAAACTGGCATCCATTTAAACAGCTAAAAATGAGAGAATCTGTGCTGCATGGGATTAGAGTCATCGTTGATCTCTGTGCTTCTCCCTCAGCTGTAGAGAGGCTTACTGGTGACACTGCTGAAGGGCCACTATCGCTTTTAGTGGCCCTGCTCACAGGGGTTTGGTGATGAACGATTGTAGCAGAATGTGGACAGTACTGAGGGAATCCTAATGAATTCCACCAGCCGGGGGAGGAGGAGGGCCGTCATTAATATTTCAGAAGCTGGTCGACATCCGGCCGTACTTCAGAAGTGTGCATATGTAGGTCATATCTGCCATCATTTTAGTACGCCCAGCCCCTGTTTAACCCCGTTTAACTGGCATTTTCTGTAACGGCCATGGCATTGTTGAATGTATTCCACTGTGTTGCACTGCCTTGTCATTTGGATTTTACCAGTTACATCTTTTACCACTTGGGCCATTTTCCCATATATTCTTAGAAAGGCTGCTATCTACAACCAAATAAAAGCAACTGACCTATTTTTTTTTTTACATTTATTATATTATTTATATTCAAAAGATCGGGATGAGAAATTTATTTTTTATTTTAATTTTTTCTTTTTTTGAAGAAAGAAATTAATACTTTAGCAATGTGCTAAATGCAATGTGTGAGTGGTAGACTGTAGACTGTAGAAGGTTCTTTAGATTATAAAAAGGTAAGAAAGAGATGGTTCTTTACAGAAACTTTGACTGAAAGGTTCTTTGTGGAACCAAAAATGGTTCCTCTATGGCAGTGATCCTCAAATCTGGCTCGCTAGATCCACTTTCCTGCAGAGTTTAGCTCCTACCCTATAATCAAACAAACCTACCTGTGATTTTCTAATGATCCTGAAGACATTGATTTGCAAACTCGGGAGTGTTTGATTAGGGTAGAGCTAAACTCTGCAGGAAAGTGGATCTCGCGAGCCAGATTTGAGGCTCACTGCTCTATGGCATCGCTGTGAAGAACCTTTTGAAGCACCTTTATTTTTAAGAGTGTACAAAATATTTATATATCAAACAAATGTTGTTCCTGGTTGTTCTCCACAAAAATATTAATCAGTAGACCTGTTTTTACCATTGATAATAAGAAATGTTACTTGAACATCAAATCACCATATTAGAATGATTTCTGAAGGATCATGTGACACACATAAAACTAAAGTAGTGGCTGCTGAAAATGTACTATTGCTATCAAAGGAATAAATTGCATTTTAGAATATATTCAAACGGAAAACAGCTATTTTAAATTGTAATAATATTTCACATGATTTTTCTGTATTTGTGATCAAACAAGTTCAGCAACGGTGAGGAGTTTGAGTGATTTCTTTTAAAAATAATCATGCTATTATCATACCCTGGTTTTTAGCGTGGTAAAAAAAGTTTTACCAACTACTTTATTCTTCTTCATACTTTCATCCCCCAACTTGACTGAATAGTTAAGGGACTCCAAGCATCTTAAACTGACATCTTTAAATAAGCCTTCATTAGCAGATTCTTGTGTCTTCCTGCACATTGCCCCAGTTTCCTATTTAGGCATTTTTTTGAGGGACCACCAGGAACAATAGCTGGAAGCAGTGGGTCATGTTCTCCTTTCCTTTGCTCAAGAAGGCTAGTATGAATGTTCTTCTGTGGTCTTCTCATTATTCTCACATGGATGGTCTTATGAATCATAGCAAGATGCAGAATTAGCCCAGCTGTTTGGATTTCAGACTTAATTAAGTCCGTTATTTTATTTATTTTTATTTTGTGCACTCAGCTTTAGATGTTGTGGATGGGGAAAGGACCAGTTCTGGTCATAAAAATAATTCCAGGGCTTTTCACCAACAAGATTTTACTTTCATAGATAATTGTTTTCCCAGAAGAGGATGCAAATAATGCAAATTAAAACATGCTACCCATACAAATGTACAGTACATGTGATTCTGATACAATACAGTATATCATTATAGATGACATGATATACATTGTACTCCAATGTACTCTCCAAGTACATCATATTGTATTTAAAAAATGCTTGGCACTTGTTTATGTCTTCCTTTTTTTCTGGTATGGATCACCCTAGTAAATGGCAAGAAAAAAAAAATGGTGCTTTCATTTTGGTGTGTGTGTGTGTAAATGTGATAAATGAGTGGCAAAAGGAAGCCATAATTAGTTTCCTCTTAGTGCTGAGCAATAAACAATTTTTTTTGAATCTAACAGGTTCTTTGTGTTCTTTTTGTGAATCTATTTATGGTGACTTAGGGTGAATTTATTAAGAATAGGGGTGCTCCGATCAGGGTTTTTGAGGCCGATTACAGACAGAGCATGTGAGCGAAGCGGAGCGGTGTGACGCTCCGCTACATTTTCCGCTCTCCCCGCTCAGCTCACGCTCCGCTCCGCTCACATGCTCTGATCACAGAAAGCAGTATCTGCCGATACCGATCACCGATACCGATCTTTTTAAAGCCTTCTTTTTATCATTACAGCAATACAATCTTTCACAGACACGTTTAAACAGAATAAATATAAGCAACATATTATTCAATGCTTTTTACGTTTGCATTTACTTCTAGATTTATTTATTAAGTTGCTCAAGCAAGTGGCGTTTAAACTACTTTTCTTACGTTATCACAAACTTACCTTTGACAGAAATAGTCAGCTCTACTGCCTTTCCTTTTGCATTGAAATCTTTATTACAAGCAATCCTGCGGTTCATAAAGAACTTTGTTTTCCTACCTCCGTGTCAATCCATGTTCATATTTACTGCAAAAAAATGCGCTGTTACTTTAATTTAGCAATAGACTCGGTGCGGAAATGATCTCTGCACTGCTGCAGACGCACTGCTTCTAGAGCGCACTGCCGGACAGCAACCGTGTGCAGTGAACGCTTTATTAATCTGTTAACATGAGTGCGGAAAAATACGCCCCGCATTCGCACTGCAAACGGAGTAATGTGAACCTGGCATTATGTGTGTTGTGCTGCGAGTGTGCATGAGCGCAGTCTCCAAGAGAGCGCGGAATGGTTAAACACTGGCAAGAATTAAAAAGTAATGCAATTTATAAACTTTAGTGACGATGTGACACTGCCTCGATTGTGCAAGTGACAATTCCTGTGTCAACTGTGCAGCGTGCTGCTCGCTTATAGACAGACGCGATGTGTCGTGATTTGAAGACATTTGCGTATTTTGAGAGAGAGAGCGTGGTGATTCACTTATGCTGTTTGTGAAATTACGTCTGCACAGTTATTTAATTAAAAAATATGAAGGAGTACCTCACCTTCAGCATTATAATTATTTCACCCGCGCCGGACAGAGACTGAGACGGTGCCGCTGCATGTCGTGCCAAACCTTCTCACGGCAGGCGCGTCATCAGCTTGGAATCGTTTTTTTGAGATCGGCCTTTTTAGAGACCGCTGATCAATCATCCCAAAGCGATTATCGGCCGATAGTGATCGGTAGCCGATCAATCGGAGCACCCCTAATTAAGCAACATGCCATATGGATTACCATTACAAATTAATGTTTTTGTTAGAATGTATAAAGTGTTAAAAAAAAAAAAAAAGTAAAATTTTTGTATCCAGCATGACACAATTTATTTTTGTGTATGATTTAAGAACCATAAATCCAAAATGAAAGTTCAACTGCACACCTGTGCTTGTGTTGAAGGTTCAGCCTCGCCATAATGGTTTTGTTTCTCCACAGGTGGTGCCAGCTTGTCTGTGGACGTCTTGTGGTGTACCTGAGGAAGGAAATTAGATATGGCAGCCAATAAAAGTAAGGGTCAGAGCTCCCTTGTCCTGCACAAGGTCATTATGGTGGGCAGTGGAGGCGTAGGAAAGTCTGCTCTTACCCTGCAGTTTATGTATGATGAGGTAAGTCAACAGACCAAAATCTGGCAGATACAGAAAGTGTTTTTTTTTTTTTTTGTGGAGGCTTCACTTATTCCATAAGTGTCAAAAAGAAAAAGTCTTCAAAATGCATTGCCTTGGTTTATTTAACCGTAGTGATTATTGCTATTTTCTGTCCCTCAGTTTGTTGAAGATTATGAGCCCACAAAGGCCGACAGCTATAGGAAGAAAGTGGTGTTAGATGGAGAAGAGGTGCAGATTGACATTTTGGACACAGCTGGGCAGGAAGACTACGCGGCCATCCGAGACAACTATTTCCGTAGTGGAGAGGGTTTCCTGTTGGTGTTCTCCATAACGGAGCACGAGTCTTTCACGGCCTCAGCAGAATTCAGGTCAGTGGTATTGCACCATTCTAGCTACTTGAAGCATAAGCTAGTACAATTGGAAAATTGGATCTCCTGTCGTGACCTAGTGTAGTCAGAAAATTTGGCCACTCAACGTTAAATATATCCATGTATGTTACAGGGAGCAGATCCTGCGGGTTAAAGCTGAGGAGGATAAGATTCCACTGCTTTTGGTTGGAAATAAGTCGGACCTTGAGGATCGGAGGCAGGTTTCAGTGGATGAGGCCAGGGGAAAAGCAGAAGAATGGGGTGTGCAGTATGTAGAGACTTCTGCCAAGACACGGGCCAATGTGGATAAGGTAATATTTGTGCCTGTGTTTGTTTTTGTTTTTTTTTTATTTAGATTTTAGATAGAATCTAGATAGAGTCTGTCTATCTGTCTCGGGTTCAGTTTTTCTGGTGTATAAAGTTTTTTTTTTTTTTTTTTTTTTTTTTTTAAATGACCAGTATTGCCATTTAGTTTTGTTTCCCGTTTAGTGACATATTACCACAAATTGTTCCATTGCTGTGCATAACCATACACTTGCTTTTATAAAATGCATCTTGTCTGTATTGTGGAATGATGGATGCCTTGACGACAGCATGACGATAGTGGCTACAGTTTATTAAATGTAGCCAAATCCAGTTTTGGAATATTTTCTGTGTAATGCAGTTTCTGATGGAAGTAGTTTATCAATATGTACTCTAGTGCCACAAAATTACAGGAGTAGAGAGGCTGTTCAGCAAACAATAGAAAAATGTGCATACATTTTTTTTCTTTTAATTCTACCTGGTTGTCGTTTGTTTTTATATCACAATGTGGTTGCGCTTTCCTGTTTTGTTCAATTGCAAACTATATATATATATATATATATATATGCATGCATACCATACACACACACACACACACACACACACATACACTGTATATTTATTTATTTTAGAGCTGGGAAGGGAAACCACAAAAATAAAGTGTTTCTCTTTAATTCTGCTTTTATTATTATTTTTATGAAAATATTTTATATTTTTTGCACTGCTCATTTGTTTTTATTCATTAATTTGAACAACCTTGTCATACTGCGCAATAATGAACCCTTTGTGTTTCCAAAGGTATTTTTTGATCTAATGAGGGAAGTCCGTGCTAAAAAGATGTCAGAAAATAAGGACAAAAACGGGAAGGGAAAAAATAAGAAGAATAAGAAGAGCTTCAAAGAGCGATGCTGTTTACTTTGAACTACACTTGGAATTTTCCCCACCAAATCTACTTGCTACTCTGTGGGGAAACTCCCTCAGAGCCCTTTTTCTTTATTAAAATCAAAACTTGATTAGTAAGGTTTTGTACTGGTCAAGGTAAGCCTTCATCACAATCTTTCATTCCCTTAGTTCATTTCAAATAACTAGACTAAGATTGAATGGTATGCATACTTTTTAACAGAAGATGACCACTGTATGGCTACTGGTTGACGACTGTGGCACTTTAGGATATCGTGAAATGTAGTTGGCCAACATGCGCCCAACACTAACTTTATTGCTCTGCAATGTATCTTTCCTTGACAGTTTTAAGTAGAAATCCTTTTTAGTAGGCAAAGTTATCTCTTCTTTTTTATTGCACGCTTTTTGAGTATTTTTGTTAGGTTTTTTAAAATCTAACCATTTTATTTCAACACCTGTTGACACCATCAATGCATAGAGAGCAAGAAGTGTTTTTGTAGATCAAGATGTATTGTGGTAGTACTGTGGTTTTTAGACTGTCATGGACGATGCCATTGAAAACCGCACGTGTATTGAGGACAGAGTGCCGAAGCATGGACTAATAGTGCCACCTGGTGGTTCATAAATGTATCTTTTCAGGAAGTCCTCATGCCTAACTGCAAGTTACTAACCTCTGTGAACTGATCTGCCTTTATGCTTTCGTATTTTATTGAAATATTTTTGTAGGACTTGTTACATTTCCACCACTGTTTTATGAGAAGAATGTATTCTGTGTGAAAATGTGCCAACAAGCGCCATGACTAAAACCGCTTTGCTGCATTTTCAGTCTGAACATAAGACACGTTTTATTTAGTGTTTGTTTAGCACTCTGAGCTCGGAGCTGTGGTTTCACCAGTAATTTAAAACTGCTCTTTTATGCAAATATCACCTAACCTAGACTGCAATTTGTATTGTAGTTTTCCACTGGCTTTTAGAAGAAAAACTTCAAAGTATGTTGCCAAATAAACTTTTTTTGTTTTTTTCTCCTTTGTATCACTTGTTTTTCACTTCTAGGATTTGTTGAATTTGAACAATTGGTACCTAACATGGAAATCAATTTCTAGAATTCTATCAATTTCTTTAAAATGTTTTTCATAAGATCCTTATGAAGCGAAAAGGAAAGGTTCTAAGAATTTGACATACCCTGTATTAGGTTAATAACTGTAGTGTTTTCTTAGGGTAATAGACTGTGGTACTGCTATTATAACTTTACAGTTTTACAGTTAACTTTAACAATGTTAATTATTTTATTATTATTAATAATAACAATTATGTAAATTATGTAATTTTAATAAGTTATTTTTTGTTTAACATTTTTATCATTGTTGTTTTAATATATAATTATTAACAATAATAACCATACTATATTATTTTTGTTTTTATAAATTCTTTTTTTAAAGAATTATGTAATTTTCTGTTATCAATATTGTTATTGTTGTATTATTATCATTATTATTATTAATAATAACAGTATATTTTATTTATCACTTGTACTTATTAACAATAACAATTGCAATATATTTTTTTAGTATTAAAAATAATTTAAAACTTGTAATTTAATGATTTGTTTTTATTATTGTTATCATTATTTATTATTATTATTTATTAGTCTGTAGTATAAATCTAAATATACTATAGTATATAGGTTTATAATTTTTTTTTTTTGTCATTGCTTTATTTTATTCTTATTAACAATAGCATTTATAATAATTATTATGATTATTGTTGTTGTTGTTATAACACACTTAGTGTGGGCTAAACAGATTTACATTTAGATGTAAAACTAAAACAATGTTTAATTTTAATAAGTAAATGAACTAGTCTTGATTTGTTTCTATTAGTGTTGGGTCTCAAATTCATCAGTGGGTAGTATCTGTCTTCCTTGCAAATGTATTTAAAAATCAGAGAGGGAGAGAATATAAACATTTCACCACAACGTAATAATCAGGTTAGTGTTGTTTAGTGTTTTGTTTTTGTTTTTTAACTGCTGCATCCTGAATATTCTGTTCTACTGACAGCAGCAGATGAACAAAGACACCTCTGTTGGATCAGTAGTGCTGATAAACCTTAGTGTACCACTGGATGGCAGTCACGTGTTTCCACATACACAGATTCAGATTGTGCTGCTTGCTGCAACATGGAGCTGTTTCTGGATGTATTGATCAGGATCAGTGGTTTCTAATGCATGCCATTTGTTACAAGTACATGGCATTTAGTAACACTGGCCAATAAGTACCTTAATGGTGACTACAATTAGGCAAGGTTATGCATGATTATACCCTATGTTTGAGTTTTCTTCTGTAATTAAGAAACATTAAGTTTTGAGACCAAGCATTTAACACTGAAATCAACCTCTTTCCATTAGCAGTAAGAAACCTTCCATGCTTTTCCATGTGTTTAATTTATTTATACATCCTCTAAAGCCATTAGAGTGGCATCAGCGACACAGTATTTGGTATTAACATTATCCATTAACAATTAATCTTATTAGGGCTGTCAGTCGATTAAAATTTTTAATCTAATTAATTACATGATGTGTCGATTTATTAATCGCAAATTACATTTGGATATGAAAATACCCCCAAAAGATTATTTAATGCTAATTTTGTGTTAAATGAGAAAGTATTAAGTAGACATTACAAATAGCTTTAGAAATAAATATTTTATTTGATTCAACATAAAATCTATTACACATAAACGTTTAGGCTACAACGGCCTAACATAAACTATGGAACATAAAAGAAGATAATTTGAGAAACATCAGTATTTTTTCGTTCATGCAATGGAAGTCATTGGTGAACAAAACAGCTTTGTTACCAACAGTCTTTTGATCCTTTAAGTCACTGGGGTTTGAGTAGCCTAAATGATGACATAATTAAAAAAAATTTGGGTGAACTATCCCTAGTTTTTCCCTTTTTTTTTAAATAAAATAATACTCTTCATTCGATTCGTTTAAACGGCTGATTCATTCAGGAATGAAGTAGACGGCTCACTTTATGAATGGGCCTTTGAATCATTGGTTCACTCGATTCGTTCAAAATGCAGATTCATTCAGAAACTAAACACTGCTGTGTTGCTCGGAGATGCATAAGAATTCTGCTGTGGCTTTATATAGGTAATGTTTTCGTTGGCAAAACTGAGCAAAAACAGACACTATTGTGTTTAAAATATAACAATATTAACTTCTTATTTACTGAACTGTTGTATAAATCACATTTGCGCTGTTATATTCGGGACAAACAGCACTCGTGTGATGCTGCTCTCGCTGCGCGTGTGATATATCGCTTATCATATGATATAAATATGAGACAAAAACTCATACAGGGCATTGTTTGCCCCAATATCTTAAATTTTAGGGCATAACTGCATTTATGGTGGTGTTGCCCTGCATCTGTCAACAGTCAACTGTATGAAATGTAAGATGAAGTACAGGACTGGGGGCCGAGCCAGTGCGTTAACTGCGTTAAAATATTTTAATCGCGTTATTTTTTCATAACTAATTAAGTTAACACGTTAAACTGACATCCCTCAATCTTATATTTATTCAAACTATTAAATAACCTTCAATCGTATTATTTCTGTCAAATGTTTATTTCAAAGTGGTTTTTCATTTGTTTCTCTCTTTATATTTAAAAGAATAAAGCTAAAATATTCACAAAGATGAGGCAGAATAAGAAGTTGCAAAATAATAAAGGGTTATGGACTGTCATCTGCAAAATTCAAATTGTAAAGGAGAATTTGATTGCTTGTATGTATGTATTTATTTATCTATTTATCTATCAGTGTGATGAAATATCTTTTATTATGCTTTAGACAAGGTCTCTGCTTCCTATTATTTGTGCTGTGGAATTATTAATGAGTACAAACCCGTACAGAACTACAAAATATGTGAGAAAGTTGTAAATAACGGAAGAAGTAGTGGGTGAGTTTGAAAATATTTAATATTTGATATTGATTTGTTAAAATGGCTTCTTTCAGATGTCCTTTGCATTCACCGTTTGCACTGATTATTCATGAACCTTGCAGTGGTACATGATTGAGGTCATCAAACTTCCTTAATCAACAGGAGATGTCTTGATTTTTATAAGAGCTTTCTGTTAAAGCAACGATAACAACAAAAGTAAGATCTGAAAACTGCACTGATATTAGTTTCATTTTAAGACAATCTTGGGGAACATTTGTTTTTGTGGTTACAGTTCAGAGGCAGGAGAATTTAGGTTTTCAAGACCTCCTCCCATTTCAACCAAATGTCTCAAGAAATATCCCTCTGGTCATTATTTTTATAGTTTTCTGTGAGTTTATGCACTCATATGATTATTATGACTCCCAAAGCCAGTGAACCTTTAAAAAGATAATAGAGGATATTTTCCTCCTCGTCGTCATATTCAACACAAAATCATCCTGCTTTTTTCCCTTGCTTCTGTCTTCTGAAAGTATATTTCTGTGATTGATTATGCCTTTTTCTGTAATGACTTCTGACTACATTTGAGTTGCAGGAAAGCAAAGAGGTCAGCCGCTGATTCTCATCTATCTGCAGGTAGACACTAATAAGGCACATGACATTTTCCCTGATGCTATCACACACGATCACACCATCTCTGTGCGGATCTGTAACGCTGCTCTTAATATTCTCTCACTTGAGTGTTTGTATTAGACTCTTATTAAAAAAACTTCAGCTGCTGGTGCTGAGCATTATTGCAGCCATATTTTTTTGTAAAAGAAAGCAATATCCTTCTCTAATACCCTAATATCTCTAGACTGAATATTCCATCTCTGGTTTCTTTGCCGAACGATACTTCGAATAAATCTTAAAGCCATTATTTTGCAAGCTGCAGATTGCTCCTCTTAAAACAGAACTGATAAATGCTATACTCTGAGGTCTAAGGGGGGAAATCACTAAGAATGAATTGCACTCACTGATTGTGTCGTTTTTTTGCACATGATGTCTGCATTGTTTGAAAGAAATTATGCAGTTATGCAAAGCAGTCAATGGCGAAGCACCCTAAAAATATGAAGAAATATGCAATGTCCATATCTATCTATCAATCTGTCGGTCTATCTGTCGGCCTGTCTATTGGTGTATCTATCTAATAATGTATAGTTTGTCATCATTTGATGATTAACTGATGCCATGATTGCTAAAAACCCATGTTTAAAAATGTAAAATATTTACTGCCACTAAAAAGTAATGCAACTTGCTTAGCTTGTAATTTGCCTAGCATATGCTTTAATCCATTACAATAGCTGTATTTATGTTACCTGTGTAAAATGGCATTTCATTATTTAAATGAGTTGGTTATTTAGCAAAATGCTCCTTTGAGCTCCTCAGACAGGACAGATGATGCTGTAGGCTGATGATTGAATCTCTGTCCATGGTGCTGAAGATCTCTTTGTAGTCCAGCAGTCCTCCAGATTGATTCTGCAGTTCTCCGCAGGTGCAGAAACACAGTCTGAGCCTCATTAACTGATAGCGGCTGAGATGGAAATATCAGCAGGGAAAAAGTGAATCAGCGCTCAGCCTGGAGACTGTCACACCGAGCCTTGAGCCCTGTGGATGTTAGATGTGAAGGCCTGCACGGTGTTGCTGGGACATAGTGCAAGTTGTTACTGCCACTGACCACTTCTTCTTTCCGGAGGATGAAATAGCAAAGTAGGACAGTAAAGCCGATAAGACTTTTGACACTTTCAAAGTTTCACCAAAGTACAATGAAACACCTCAGAGTTTCTGCTAGATGAGATTTCTGGTATTAGGTCAGATGCAGAGCTAACTCAAGGCACTGCATGTTTTTCATTAGTCTAGTAAAAGTACGTTCTTGAGCTCATTGCTTCTTTTTATAGCACATCTGTAGTTCAAAGAAAGCAAAGGCAACACCGAGGTACAAAGGAATATCGGAATTGTCTGGGTGAATTATCCTTTCAATAAATTATATTTTGGATTTTGTTGTAAATGATGGTTTTATTTGTAATAT